TGTGAATCCATCAGTTTGAACGCCTTGTCATTCTTTTTGTGCATGGCTGGTGACTTCCCCTCCTGCTATATTACTGTTTCCTTCCTTCATTTAACATTTCATTTCCCAGCCCATCCCATTCTATCAGCTCAAATTCACTCTTCAGAAATGGCCTCCAGACTTCAGCAAACAAAGCTGATCTTCATTTCTCAGAGAGGTACTTTAGAATGTGCTCTGCGCCTTTCCGTGGATGAAATTCCCACTGTGAGCTTAGGAAAATGCCTTTCCTTGTCAGGTCTCCTGTCTTTCAAATATTTGCATTCTCTGTATATCTACTGAGCTGGAGCACAATCTCCATTATGTAAACTCCATTGAGTCCTTTACTTTATAAAGGATTAACTCTAGGTTTTCCAGGAGTCCTGCTTTGATCTTAAATTTAAAATGCCATAATTTTTATTTTTTTTTTAATCAGGAACTAAATTAGCCCTGTGTAAACTGCAAGTAGACTCTTAATTATGCTCTCCCTTTAAAAAGATTTCTTATACGTCTCTTTTTTTTATTAGAACATCACTCCTCACATGTTTTCAGCAAAGTTTTATGTTTTATTCTAGTGTCCCTCGGGAAATGCAAGCTGCTGTACTGTCACAGCCAGGGACTCTAAGAAATACAGCTACCTTTTGTTGTTTTTTCCTTTTGCAATACTTTAAGAAATACAAGAAAGTGGAAGTAAAACATTACTCCGGTATTTCTCCAGTCACAGGTTCTACTTAACTGTTTAATTTTAGACTCAGAGGGTTCCTTTGGTTCTTTGCTTATTCATGAAAACAGACCAGTTTTCAGTGTCCACTCTGGGATGAACATGTCTGCTTTATTCTGTGTCCACTCACAAGTGATTGGTCTAGGAACAACAGATATGTGGAGCTCTGCTTTGGAAAGCTCCTTCCAGTAAAGGGAGGATCTTAACCATCTGCCAATATACTTCAGGATCTCTATTCAAATGCCTTCTAAAACCTCCCCCTTGCCACAACCCCCTACTACATGAAACTGGAGAAGAGCAAGGAAGTTTGTGTGTATAGACCTTTTGCTGTGTTACTTCTCAGCCCTATTTCCTCTTACTTCTGTGTCTTTCACGTCTGTGTCTTTCCATACAGCTCAGGTGTTACATTTTGACTGTAAGCTGCATGGGGCACATGTCACATGCCACTGTTACATGGGCAGGGGGCCTGCTTGCTCCTGGGGCACATATGGACTGTGACAAAGAACATGGAGCAAACCCGTCTGGGTAAGGGCTACAATGCAGACCTTCCAGGCTAATTTAGAACTGGTAGCATGAACAGCTGAGAGGCAATTTGCCCTCTGTATTGGATAACTACGGATGCCCTGAATATCAGGAAAGTTTGTTGGATGTAATTAGCTTTACAGTAGGGGAAACAAAGCCTACATTCTAAAAAGAAATGCCAGCAATTATAGTGCAAAGAAAAGCTCACACATCCACCCACACCTCAAATCCTTCTGGACAATCTGCTGGTCAGCAGAACTGCACAAGAAGTGTTCTCTGACAAGTAGTGAAACAAGAATTCCTCAGCTATTGCTGTCCTCACCTCTGCTGAGGCTGAACTGAGGGCACAGGCTTAGGACTGGAGAGCAGCATCTACAAAACCAGGTTAGAAGCTGACAAAAAGTCAACATTTCTGAGAGACTTGAAAATCAGTGGTTTTGTGATATGAATTGAGGTACCTTTAGGAACTAAGACTGATCCACCAAACTTGGTCATATCTAGGCCTTTACTTACACTAATCAGGTTTTAGTCCTTTAATGGTAATGAAATGATATTTTTCCAGTCACTGTGTTATTTCCTTTTCTCTTTACCTATTGTTTTGTAGAAAAGGTTTTTTCAGCCATGGTACTTAGAGGTCTGGATTTTTTTCAAATGACAGTGCATTTCAAAACCCCAATAGGTTTGTGGCAAACTAATGTGGTAAAAATGTGAACTGTTTAACATAATAAGACATGATCTCACATTTTAGGTTCAACAAAATATCCTGAAACCAGATACTTATGCAAATTATAAGAATCTCTTCTCTCCATTACATCTCAAGCTATTCAGCAAGTAAGTCACAGAAGAAAAAAACATGGGTAGCGTGAGACAGGCTTTAAAGTCTGAAAATAATTTTGTGAATAATAACATTTTATGGGAATTCTGACGGGGTGTCAGGAGGAAGGTTTGCCCTAACAAGTGTTCCATGAAGAAAACCAAATCACTAGAATGCAAGAGACTAACACCAAATGAGCAAGAAACTTACAAGAGAAAGCTGGTTATTTAACTTACTAGCAATCTGACTAATCCCAGGAGTGCAGTCCAGCGTTCAGTGTAAATTGCACTGTCCCTCCCTCAGCTAAGTTCAAAGAGGCCGTGAGACCCAAACCACTCCTAAGCTGATCCCTCTCTCTAAGGCTCTGCAGTTTAGCTCTGCGAGGCCCTCAGTCCTCTCCCCTGCTCTGACCCTTTGCTATGGTAGCATATGTAGAGGATAAAGGTTTCCTGTGACCTGGGAACTAATATCACCCCTTAGGACAAACGGTACTATAGTGTAAGTATGTGCACTGACCTTTCGGACACAGCAGGCACAAAGCACAGGGAGTTTGAAACAGTCTGAGGAATAACCTGAATCTCAAACGTGGGGCTCTTCTTTCACGCATTACCTTGCCCTGGCCCTATGCCATGAGTAAAGTTACATTTATGGGAAAGGGTGAAAGAAAGGAGTTCTCAAGGTAAGATAGTCAGGGCAGGAAGACACCAGACTATACAGACAAGAAGGTGCAGGAAGTAGGTAAGATAGATCCTATGGCTGTAGCCCACAAAGCACGGCTGTGGCACACAGGGAAGGTGTATCAAGCAGAAGTCCAGAGATTCTTGATCAGTTGAAGAGTAGGTAGGGGCACAGCAGAGAGAAAAGGTGTCTCCAGCAACTTTTGTGGATTTTATTTTAGGGGAGAACTCATTCAGTTACTGATACCTCATTCCATGCTACAACAGCTGGGAAGGATGGGAACAATGGTGAGATCTTATTTGGAACAAGATTTCTTTTACTGCATCATCCATCTGCTATCTGCATACATTAACTCAAGATCCAAAGCCTGATTATCAAGGATAAAGGACACCATAGCAAGGTGATCTCTAATCATTAGAAGGGATAACCCAGGGCAGCCTGGACTCACCTCAGGCTGTGAAGGCAGACACAGCTTCAAGAGACTCCACAGGAAAACATAATGTGCTTTACTTAAAAGAGCAATTATCATAACATGGGATTTTTAAGGAGGAACAAAGGCAAAAAGTAAAAAGTTGTGGAGCTGAAAAGGCACCCTGAGAACAAAATATTCAGGAAACAAGATGAGTGCTACTGGAAACTGCTCGTCAAAGCAGTCTCAAACATCAGAGAGAGGAGTGCCAGAGCATTCTGACTCTTGTTGTATAAGATGTTGTGAATATGTGGGGCATGAGCATGGAGTTTTGCCTGGCAATCCTTTGCCAGTGCTTAGTGGCTAATTGCACCATCAATTTGCAGTCTCAATCAATTATCAGCTGACGTTATAGTTGACAAGGGTCAAATTTGTTTAACTGCATACAAAACCCAAGTCCCAAAGATAAAAAGGACAGATAATTTAGTTACTACTATGGATATGAAAATGCCAGGCATAACCTGGTAATTTCATGTCATAAATATCACAGGTATTCTGGTACATGATGTTGCAATAGCATTTATTTAAGATTATATTTAATATTGAAACTGATTTAAGCTTGTCTAACCAGTAATGCAGTATGTGCTTGACTCATTATTAGGGTGCATTTCATTTTCCCATAGCTATATTTTTATTTATTATCAGTTCTGTTTTGAATGCTAGTTAAGATTAAACTGACTGTGAATCTGTAATTACAAACAATTGTTGCATCACCTAAGTATGGTAGCAGTAAACTTATTTATATCATTAGGTATTTATGTGACTTCAAGATCAAATACTTATCCTGGATCTTTGGATTGGGCAGACTACTGTTCAAGAGCTAATGCTGTTAGTTTTTCTAGGTCACATTCCAAAAGGAGGCCTTTGCAATCTACTAGATCTACATGTATAAATGATGAAGCACCTTCTAAAAGACCTTCTCAAAGTGTGGGTAAAAAAAAGAATGCTGACCTTCAGTATAACTGAAGTGAACCATTTTTATGGAATTCTTTAGGCAATGATTCATGGATATGACAGCCTAACACACAAAAAAGCAAAACGATTTTCAGACCTTACATGACTTCTAAAAGGCCCATGGGTGAAAACTGTTTCACTGAGATTTGAAATGGCACAGGTGCTCTAAGCAGAGATTGCAATAATCAAAGTTCCTGCAGTGTTTTTCATCTGTTGATGTCAAGGTAGTTAGACAGTAAAGTCTGTAGGTAGGGAAAATTCTGTACAGATGCGGATGTCATTAGCTATAAACCTAGATAATTTTTCCTTGGAAACAAGAAAACTTAAAAAGGCTTAACTCTTATGATTCAAGTCACATTGCTGATATGAAAAAATGAAGTAATTGCAAATGTAGTCAGTATTTTGGAGGGGGCAGCAATTTTTTAACATCAAAAGCACTAACATTAAAGCAAGCAAAGATATTGGGGGTGGAGGCAAGTCCTTCACAAAAAAAACAGCTTGCAGTGATTCACTGTGCCACATTAGGCAGAAGTATAGTTCTGTGTGTGTTGTCCTAGAAGGAAATACCTGATTTTTGCTAAAATATTAAGTGCTGTGATTCTGCAAGCTGGCAGCACCAAAGGGCTGCACTGTTCTAATGGATGATTACCTCTCCTCCCACAATTCTTCAAGCAGAATGGACGGCAGTTTCAGATTGAATATATATTTTCCATCTGCTGAACAGTTGTTTTTGTTCGTGCTGTTTGAGGTTAACTGTGCACGTACTAATCAAACCCACTACTTCCTTTCTCGTAAAACCAAAACAAAGCTTCACATTACTTTCAGGTACAGCATCTTGGATCAAAGCTATATATACACACTGGCTCTGTGTGGGTTCAAACATTTCGAAGATTCAGTATCCTGAAAGGTGTCACCTCTTTTCCAGTCCTGAGAGTTCCAGTTTCTCTTAACTTCTGAAGGCATCGGATACCTTCAGCCCCTCCAGCATCTGTCCCAGCACAGGAATGCTCTCAATATTGATCACCGTGGGCTTTCTCTGCACAGCCACTGCCGGTGCTGAAGGTGGGTAGATGAAGGAGGAAAGGTATCTGGGGGTGTCTGCCTTTTTTCAGTTTCACGTCTTTGCAGGAGATGGATTTGGTACAACAGGGAGAGGGAGGTGACACAGGACCAGATGGGAGCGAGGTCTTGGGGCACTGCAAGGTATCTGGAAAATCACAAACAGACTTGAGAGTAGTACCATCTGTGGGGACACTGGGCAGGGTAGCTCAAGAAGGAAGACAGATTTTGACAAAACAGGCCCTGCAAGTGAAGTTACGGCAGCTGATAACATGGCTATAGAGGTTAGAATAGATGGAAAAATTCTACTCTTCTTCATCTCAAATTCTTGCACTGCAGAATTGAAGAAGACAAGCCCTGCCCCATTATGGACTAATGTAAAATGAGATTGAACAAATAACACTGATTCTTCACAGCTTATTAAAGCAAAAGTCAGTGCCTTCTCATTGTGCAGCAGGAGAGAGTACAGAAGTTGTAAAAAACTGTCAGTGGGGATGTACATAGTACATTAATTTTCCCTTAAGATTTGTAATGATTTTTTTACAGTATGCTTATCAGGCTTTGCTGTGTGTTGCTGTATTGTAGCTTGGGGTATACACTGCTGCTATACTGTGGCTTGGGAATAGCAAGTTAAAAATAAGGAGAAAAAAGACCAGAAACAAAAATTTGCAAACAGGTTTTCCATTCAGTTTTACTGTAACCCTAATGATTCTATTCCATGTTCCATCCAGGTTGTCAACCTTTTTGTTTCTAAATGTGAACATGCTTATTCCTATTAGGCAGAAATTATGGTTTAAATGCCTGATTTTAAAATTCAAATTTCAGTCTTACCATCTCAAGTCTACTTTTTTTTCGTTTTCTTATGTATATTAACACATTTCTGCTGAGGGAAGCTGAAGCATGCAGGTCATTCACTGCTCCAGTAACTGGGCCAAACAACCTACTATTTCAGTAGCAAGTAATTGCTGAGATTTATAATACAATTTTTAGTAATCAAAGCATTTCTTGAGCTTTTAAAAGAATATAGAATATTAAATGCATGCTAATGTGAATGTGGTCTTGGAGTGCTTTTTTTTGAAAACAGCATTTCTAGGAAGTACCCATGGATAATAGGAGGTGGTAGAACTCCCTTCCCACTGTGCAGGTTTCAAGCAAATGACTGTAGATCATGTCTTGACAGTTCACTTACCATGCTCTTTACTTCCTTATAGTAATGGAAGTGACTCAGCCAGCAATGGTGCTGGCCAACAGGCAAGGCGTCGCCAGCTTGGTGTGTAAATACAAGCACATCGGGAACGCAAAGGAAATTCGAGTGACGCTGCTCAAACAGACGGGTGATGGGTTCACTGAAATTTGTGCTTCAACCTACACCACGGAGTTTAAAATGTTCAGTGTGGAAGAGGTCATTCAGTGCCGTGTCAGCCCCGGCCAGAACAACGTGACCCTCACCCTCGCTGGCCTGCAGGCCAACGACACCGGCCTGTACGTTTGCAAGATGGAGCGGATGTACCCCCCTCCCTATTTCATGAACAAGGGAAATGGGACACAGCTCTATGTCATTGGTAAGCCCCAGCTTTACAGTACCATGATATTTCCAAGTTAAGGGAGTTCCCATTATGTTTCAAAGGTCATTAGAGTTCTGTTTGTATGAAGTGAGGGCAAATACTGGTTTAGGTCTGAAGATCATGATTAGCTCCTATTCCTTTCATGCCTCCCTCCACACACCTGAAGCAAGCATAGTCAGAGCCGTGCAATGTATTTAGCAACTTAGGGATGCCTGATAGCATAAGCAACACCATGTATGTCTAGATAGTTAGATACAGAAGTAAAGAAATAACAGAGTAAAGTGTATGTTCTTCTACAGATAAAGCCTATTTTCATTGGAGGCTGAGTGGGCAGGGACTCAGAGGTCAGTCCTGGCAGTATCCTGGAATAGCACACGCTAGAGAAAAACAGAGTGGAGGCTGCCTTACTGACTCTAGGGCCATCCTTAAGAGGCTCCTGTGTGACATGACTTGTGTGATATCCTATGTTTTAGATCCAGAACCTTGTCCAGACACTGCCATATATCTCTGGGTATTAGGAGCTACAGCCTCAGGATTTTTTCTTTACAGTATCATCATCTCAGCTGTTCTTGTGGGCAAAGCGGTAAGTCCCATCAATTCAGCCCCATTCTGCTAATAATACTCTTTGTGTGATGAGGACAAGGAGAAAGAAAGGAGAACGCTGGGAACAAACGCACTGGGATGCTCCATTTTACTAGAACAATGCTATTACAATACTGTGAGATAAGAGAACTTGCTGGAGCTGCCACTTGTATTTGTTTATGGCTCGTTTGTGTGGCCAGAGTACTAGAAAGCAGTCAGCTTTCACCATCTGGACTGAGCCTGGCTTAGATTTGGATGCTTAAAATGGGGGACACTTCTGGAATCAATGGCAACAGTCTTCACATACTCTGATTTCACAGCTGATTCACACAAAATCCCAGGATTTGATTTTTCCTTTTCCCACCATTCACCCCTGTGCAAAGCAAATTTAAAGAGGCTTCTCCTTGGATAGGGGGTAATCGTAACTTAAAGAATTTTTAACTTCACAACTAGAAATCTCTGCACAAAGGCAGCCAAAATGTAAACCTGTGTTGCCTCTTTCCATGGGAGTCTGCAGTGCTCACAGTCTGCTAGAAATGAACCTAATGGCAAAGCTTAAAACCAAACAGTACCTGTGTCCCGTATTTTTCACTTAGCCCTTGTCCCTAGAGACTAAATGAAGCTGTCTGGTGTGAACACTCCTAGTTTTGAAGCAACACTGAACTCTAAAGCAGGAGTACCTTCAGAGGGCTAAATGAATGGCAGAACTCTTTAATATATATATATTTACCTAAATAACCTCTGTACATCCTGATCCTCCCTCAAATGGTCTCCAACAGATTTCCTGTAAAGAGGCATGTCAGGGAAAGGTGTATAGAATACCTTCTGCTCAGTAAAGACAGAAAACCCACCAGTTTTCTCTAAAAGTTGCTGGTCAATGATTATGCCATTATCACTTATTTTATTGTCTTCCCATATTTTACAGATAAAGAGAAGGCGATGTCTCACTACCGGAGTCTATGTGAAAATGCCTTCTGAAAAGCTAGAGAAAAAAGTGATTCCATTCCACATCACTGGTAACTGTAACAGGGAAGGAGAGAAACCATTTCCTAGCTGGGATGGAAAGTCTGCTAATTCACTTCAGTTAAAGAAATAAAATTAATTGTCTTGTTACAAAGGTGTACAGGAAGGAGAGAGAATATTCCTTGTAACTTCAATGGTTTGGAGGAGAATAATTAGTATATGCATTCGTATTCGAAGATTAACCCTGTCACATAAAAATGGCTACCTTAGGCCATTGAATCTTTGAGATGTATTGTACCAATATGTAGTATATATACATATATATATATACATAGCATTAAGAGCTATTGCTGTTGCAGTTGAGCATCTTACTGTCACATTTCACCATGCCTACTGAACAACTGAAATCCAAACACTATTATGACAGAGGCTTGTGTGTCATTGCAAAGCTGATCCCACAGGTCTGGGGGGCAGAGGCAGAAGAGCACACTAATGTACAAAGGAATGTTGACTCGTTTCCCTGCATCGATATTTATTGGTTCCATTTCTGGCGTTAGTGCTCTGTACTCCATAGAGGCATCACCCTAGGCCAGCACTGATGACACTGCTGCTCTAAAAGCCTGATCTTAGCTCCCTTCACTGGCATTGTGTCCCAGCAGTGCTGTGCTGGAGTTGACATTGATGATATCTGAGCCAGTGCTGACAGTTTGGTTGGAAAGGAGGCTCCAGCAGGAACCCTCTTAACGCTGTGCTGGGAGGATGTTCCAGCTCTGCTGGGGCCTTGTGTTTTACAAATGCTAAATTAGCATCTATCCAAAAGGCAGAAGTATGTTGCTGTGTTTAACTGACTCTATTTTCCATGAAAATATTGACAGTGTATAATCTTGTTTATTAGTTATGTACCAAGTCAATAAAAACCTTGAAGCTTTGCCCAAATTCAAGTTCATTTCTTATTCACTGTTCTCAGAAGAAACAGGAAGTGGCTACATGTTAGAAAGCAGTGAAGACAACATGAACCCTTCCCCTCTGACCCTGTGTTTTGCCCTTTAGAAACAGTCTGTGTGTTCATGCCAGCACTTATGTTCTCAGCTCCCTCCTCAGCCAGCTACCATTACAATCTGCCAGTTCTTCTATTTGTGTAGTTAGAGCTGCTGTGATGCTGCTCAGACACTACCAATGACCTCTTCTCTTCCAACAAAGTTACTTACTTGCAGAAGGTAGCTGTAACGACTTTGACAGCATCTCCTGTACATGTTTAAACAAAAAACTTGTCCTAGTTTCAAATCCTGTTTTCTTTGCAGCCCTTTGACACTCTCACCCACTAAATGCTAGTCAGCACACGAAGCTGCTGGAGATTAAAGCTATTTCAGCCTACTCCCTACTGCTTTGACTCTTTGCTATCAAAATTTCACCTTGCAACTCAAAAACCTTGCAGCATGTGTCTCTGGTTCACAGCTGTGAATCCATCTTCTGGGCTACACAGGTGTGAAGTCAAACCCCACAGCCCTTTATTCCCTGTTCCTGCAGTGGCAGCAGCTCCCAGAACATTGAATCTCATAGCTCTTTTAGTTAGCTTCTCCCCTCTTGCCCATTCTTCTGGCATTACCTCCAAGTGTGCAAAGAAACATTCCCATTCTCAATTTGCTAATGTTTGCAGGTGCTAACTGCTCTCTGTTGATATGCAATTGTACTCCATTAAGTAAAAGCAGTATCCGTAGGACATAGCCTTTTTCTGAAGGTGTTTTTAGTATTCTGATATCTGTCCAGGCTTTTTTCCCTAATTTTTCACTACTTGGTGTTTTGGGGATAAAAAAATGGTCAAAGATCACATCTGGTGTCACTGCAAAATGACTAAATTTCTGCTCATCAAGTGCAGCCCGATCAGAGAAATATGTTCCATGATTCCATGATGAAAAATAGACTGACCCACACATTCACTTTTACAAGCTGAACAAAGCATGAATAATCACACAGAACAATTTTTTCCACCATAGCAAGTAGTAGTTCAGATATCCTGTGAATCATGTGTCTGACTCCTAATCAGGAATCAATTGTTTTTTCTTTTTCCTTTCCTTGACAATTCCTGTATACTGGAACCAGGAACTCAAGTAAATTTTCCTCAAGTTTATCCCTCCTGGGTGAAGAGATGCTTTGGAACTGTATCCACAACCTCATGACCTCTGGCCACAGCTGGCTGTGAATCTGTGTCACCACAGAACATTCCACTGTGGACATTCCAACTCACTTCCATTTCTAACCTAAATTAGTTAGATTGACCATAATTAGGCCTTCTGCACCTACCTGGATTATTTCCTCTTAGCACACAAGCATTTCCTCGAGACATTCAGCCTGCAATGACCAGTGCCATAAATTAGCAGCAGGTTGCTAAAATAGCTGAGTAGTGAAGGTTATAGAAGAGCAGAGCAAAAACAATCATCTCAAAATCATCTCACATGTGGAAATAGCAATATTTTGTGTTTGCTCCCACACGTAAGTGTGGGATGTTTATATTGGTATGATGTTTATTAATTATCCTATTAGAAATTACTTTGCCCAAATTATCTGGCAGTTACAAACTTCTCTTCATTCTCAGTAGTTATTTTTCATACCTCCTTTTACTTCTGCAGTGCTTCATTTTCTCTGGCTTTCCTTACAAATTTAGCTGCCTTTCCTGAGCTAAATGTTACATAAGTAGGCTTTTTCATTTTTTGTTCTAAGCCATATTCCCCTTTTGAATTTTCTGGCAGGGTAATAGGTGCGCTCAAATCAGCACATATAGTGATACAGTCAAGACCAAAGTGAGATTTCAGTTCAGATTTTACTGACAATGATATTCTTGTAATTTGTATCTGACACTACAGAGAGGAGTGGAGACTAAATGCCTGCAGAGATGGTATTTATACCTATCTCTATATGGTCCATATAGCAGCTAGTTCTGATAAGTGCAGAGCCCAGACCTCAGGGAATTTCCATTGTCCTGTGCTGCCCTCCAGAACTTTAAGGTCTGTGCTTTTTCCCGATACTCAGAGAGCGTCTTTACATGATCAGCAATCCAAAAAATTTTACCCATACAAGTCAACTATAGTGTTCTGTCAGAGCATAGCAGTACCAAAATGAAAGATGCAAACTCTAAGTCACTGTACAAGCCAGAAAATGCAATAAAGAGGAAATCGTGCCGCTTTCTGGGAAGAATGGAAAAAGCAAAGGCAAAAGGATTTGATCTCAGAACTCTGCTCATTAGAATGGAGAGTTTAGAAACATAACTGTGTTACCTGGACAGTCAAATTACAAGGCCATACCACTTGGTGAGGTTCAGGAAGAGTCTCTTCTGATGTTCTCTTCACCCAGTCAGGAGCTCTGGCAGCCTGTTTGTGAAACAGAGATAATGAGTTTCTGGTTGCACGAGTGGGCATTCACAGGTGCCCTTTGTCTGCATCAAAGGGAGTGAATGTGTGTGAGGGGCTGGGGAGATTTGCAGGCAAAGTACATTGGAAGGTAAGATAGAACTGGCTTCTTCCTTTCACCAGACAAAAGCTGGGGATGTGATGGGGAGTGAGTTTTGAAAAATGAACCAGAAAATGCACCAGTTTTCCCTGTGATGGGAACAGTCTGAACCATGACTAAAGAGCTTTGCCTCTAGGAGAGGCATAAACAGGGGTCAGATGATGTATTCACGAGCTGTAACACGAAATCCAAACCAAAGCAGGTTGGTGTACAGCAGATGGATTTACGCATTACTCAAACCAATCTACTGTTGTCGTTTGCAAACTGTATGCTTGCTTGATCATGTGAAAGGTACTCTGAGATAGCTTCTATCACAGCTAGGCTGCGAGGCCTCTGCACTCCCTGGAAGGTTAATGTACATTTTGAATGCAGGTTTACGGCTGGGAGGGAGGTGTGGGGTAGAGGTGAAATTCAGGAAATTTTTGAGCTGCAGAGAATGAGAAAATAATAAGAAATACACAGCACCACACTCTGCTGATCCTGCAGATTCCTGAGCATCAGTTGGGCACTTCCACACACAGACAGTCACCACTTACAGGACTTTGTTATTATTTTCTGTGAATATTTTTGTGACTGATAAAAGAAGAATCTTATTTGAGGGCACTTTTATATTCTACAGAAAAAAAGGAATGGTAAGGAACTGTAGTATGTTTGAGTAAATAACAATTAACTAATAAAAGATCTTAGAAGCCAGGGGTGGGGTGGGGAGCAGTGTAAAAATTGTCACTGAAGCTATTTCAAAAGTTTTTGTTGTTTATTAGAGGGACAGAGCATGGAAGAGTTCAAGTGAGGGATAAAACTTCATTGGGAATCATTAGTAATTGCAGCTGAGGTAACGAGGCAGATGCCTCCATGATGTAAGAGATTATTAACTAGTCCAAATTTCACTATTCTTTTCTTTTTCAGTTTTTCAAATGTAGTTTTCCTTCTATTTCCATAGTGAGCTGTCTTAACCACAATCATGTTTCTATATTTTAATGAACATTTTTTAGTGGTTATGAAGTTACAGTTGAACAAAAGGTTCTGTTTTTTCATTGGTTGTTTTTCTTCTTCATTCTTTTCCGACTTTTTTTGAGCTGCTTCACTAAACGAAATGCAAGACCTTGTTTTTAAGGAAAATGGAATATCTCACACAATTATATGATTCCATTAGGTGGTACTTTTAGGTGACCACCTCCTGTAAGGGGATGTGTGACACAATCACAAAACATGAAACACTAGGCAACATCTGCTTGGACTATGCTGAGTTCTGGGTGAGATTTATCCACATTCATGTTCTTCCCTGTGATGTAGCAACTTGTGTTGAAAGCTGGAACAAGCAGCAGGGTGCTTTGTTCTTCCTAGACAGGATCACTGCCTGGGATGTGGGTTTTCTACAGCAAATGAACATTAATGTTTGGACCAAGATTGCCACTGACAGGAAAAATGCAGGATCACTGGTTTTATAGAAATAAAAACACCTACACTGAGCAAATACGCCATGTTTCATTCAAACTAGAAACTGAGTAACCAGACCCCAAAGACTCCTAGAGTTCAGTATAGACAGGCAATAAACGAATCCTTCCTTTCTGTGAAAATTCTTTTTGGAAGTTGGACTCTGTTGGCTTTCAACTGAACTCCAGAGATCTCTCTCCATGTGCTGGTATGTGAGGAAAGCTGAGATGTTTGAAGTTCTGTAGAAACTCTGATAAGACTTCTTTTCATCTTGTGTGCTTTCAGAGTTGGCCTTTTTACCTGCTAGACAGAGCTGCTAGTTCTTGCTACTGTCCTCTTTCCACTTTGTTTGAATTCAAACAAATACAACAAATAGCTTATTAAACACAGGCCTTCTCTTCTCCTGTGCTACACAAGGTGTTAGGCAGTATTATGGTCTAACTGATTTGCATCATGCAGATTAGAAATGAAGACGCAATGAGCTGGATAAAAATTGTAAAAATTCTTGGAGGGGGAAACAAGAACCAAAAATGATGCACATTTGAAACTGTCACAAAGCGTGGTACCTTAGCAGTACTTAATCTAGATCAGAAAGCAAAACAGTTCATTTCTTTGTAAGTTATCAAATCCTTCTGGTAAGTGACACTCTGGAAACACTCAGCTTCATAACTGGCTGACTTAATGTTTTACATGCAGGAAAGATGGCTAGAACAGCAATAATCAGCAGAATAAGTTGGTTTCATAGCTGAGCTTTGTTGAGGTGTTATATCGTGTGGGTAGCATTTATAAAAGTTTTCTCACTTTTAATTCTGTAGCAAAGATGACTGTCTGCTTCACAAATTAATAATATTTTCCTTTCTCTTATAATGCTAAACTAATTAATTATATCATACTTTCTTATATGACTAGACTATTGGTCTAGTCTTCTTTTTATAGTACTCTCTCACTAAGATGAAAATCTCATGTTCTTTTTTTTTCTTCATCTTGCTGTAATAATA